CCCCCAGGGGGGATGGCCACACTGCAATCTCTTCTCCACCATTCTCCTCTCGGGATCTTGGGCATGCACGCACATGCGCCCGGCGTGAGTTTAAGCCACCGGGTCCGGGACTCGAACCGCGGTTGACTACGTGGGAGTCCAGCGACATAGCCATTACGCTAACTGCTGGTCCCTTAAAATTTTTTTAGTTTATTTTTTCTATGAGTGAAAGAGATGGCACCCAAGCAGGGTCTTAAGGCTGCAATGCACCCCCTGCTTCATCGGCCCCAGGTCATGGGCACAGAGGTGCCTGGTATGTTCTGGATGCAAAGCCAAAGCACCCCTTCCCCGCTTTGTGGATCAGCCTCACAGAGTCACAGTGTCATGTTTTACCGATGTGCCATGCCGGGCTCTTCACTTTGTTTTATAAAATACTGACGAAGCCAGAGCTGGACTCACCTGCTCTCATGCCAGCCCTGGGACCAGAGTCCCCAGTTCCTGCAACTAGAGGCCAGACACCAGGAGTACAAATCCTGGGGCACTCCGAGTTCTTTCCAAGAACCGCCCTGCCCCCTTGAGGGACCTCCCTGCTAAATTCACTGGGTGAGATTAAATCTCCGAAAATTCATCCCAAAGTTTTTTGTTCCGCAAGATTAAAGTGAGGGTGCCCTCAGAAACACAGACCGTATTTCTGTCTTCTTCCTAAAGGGTGAGTTTGGCAAGGGTTGGCTCTTGGCCTGCCCGTTTCAGGTCTCAGAGAAGCTGCTGGTGCGAGCAGAATTTTGCATGCAAAGAATGGAAGGATTTAGCTACTTAATCCAGGGCCGCGGTGATGAGCGGGCAGGATGGAGACCAAACTCAGCAATATGTCTGTGAGGTACATGGGTAAGGGGGATTAAATGGACTTCCTCTAGAATGTTCTAGATTAAGGGTGTCTGGCGAGAGCAGGGAACCGAGAGCCAGGAGACCTGGGTTCTAGTCTCATTCTGACTCTAATATGATCTGGGACAGGTCCCTTCCTCTAAGGGAGATGGCAGAATGGCAGAGTCCAAGCCATCACCAAAGGCCCTGCGCACTGTGACATCCTACGACAACGTTCTAGCAGGACCCAGCACAGAGGTTGTCTCCTCTGGTCAACCCTGCTGCTTTGCCTCGTTTGCAGATGGCCCAGAAAGGAGAAGGGTCCTGCCCAGAGTCACACAGCCAGCAGGTGTCAGACTGGAATGAGAGCTGGGTTTCCCACCTCCCCACTCAGGGCTATTTCATGGCGTCCCCTGCTCCGTGAAGCCCGAGAAAGGAAGGCTCAGGGCCTTGCATAATTTCTTGTGAAGACACAGGAGCCTCCCTCCTGGTGGCGTTCTCAGGCAGGCCTCACTGGTGCCCTAGTGCAGTCAAGCCAGCAGTTTTGAAAGGCCTCTGGCTTGTTTCCCAGTCCGTTAGTTAAACTCAACCAATTCTGAATTCCCCATGTCATCAGAGTTAGACCATGAGAACGAAGCTTGCCCAACAAATGAAGCGTGCTTAGGATTTCACAGAGAATCCACCACCTACTTGAGAGACGGCAAGGGCTTTCTCAGCAGCTCTTGGCCGGCCAGTAAGCACAGTGCTGGCGCAGCTCTGCTCTGACCTCTCCGTCGGAACAGGTCCAGTACGCATTTCATCGACATTATCTTTTTTAAAAAAGCAGGTTAAATTACTGGCTATACTGGAAAGTAAATCTGTGTGTATTTTATTATTTTTTCCAGGTTTTTGCCATAGGGCATGTGCAGACAGATACAGAAATAGAGAAAGGGAAAGTGAGAAATCACCCTCCCCCCAGGGGGGATGGCCATGCTGCCATCCCTTCTTTTTCATTCTCCTCTTGGAGTTTTGGGCCCACACACACACATGTTCCTGGCATGATTTTCAAGCTGCTGGGTCTGGGACTTGAACCGTGGTCCCTGATGTGGGAATCCAGCGCCTTCACCACCACACCATCTGCTGGCTCCAAATCTATGTTTGTTTAAAATTAAAAACCGATCACATCACTAACAACTGCCTTCAAAAAAATTAGTCTGGTTAACTCAAGAACTAGAGATATTTAAAAATGCATTTTAGGGACCAGCAGGTGGCATGGTGGTTAAGATACTGGACTCCCACGTGGTCCACTGCAGTTCGAGTCATGGACCTGGCAGCTTGCTTTCTTACATTCCCTTTCTTTCCCACTTTGGTCAAATTAAATAAGTAAAAATAGTAACAAGTGGAATTAAATAAATAAATAATTATTTAAAAAATTTAAATGGATTTTAGGCCTAGCCTAGGGGGCACAGTCCATAGTGTGCTGGACGGTGCAGCTCTGGAAGCCACTAGTTGGCCACGGTTCAGAGCCTGGTCTGACCTGAGAACACAACGCATGTGATCTTTAGGTGCCCAAGACCCTGAGGAGCTGGAAAGCTGAGGAAAGATGAGACCCTGTCAGAGACATTTTCTCTCCTCTCACATGGGTACTTGCTCTCTCTCTCTCTCTCCCTCTCTCTCATACGCACTTTTAAAAAACATATGGATTTGGAAACCTTGGGGATTTTTGTAGCCAGAGAGACAGGGAATTGCCTTTGCTTGTATCTTTTATTTTAAAGAATCATTTTATTTAACTTTATTTATTTATTTATTTAAATTTGACCAGAGAGGGACAGAGTGGGAGTGAGAGAGAGAGAAGGAAAGTGAGAAAGCAAGCTGCCAGGCCCAGGACTTGAACCACGGTCGGCCATGTGGGAGTCTAGCACTTTAACCACCACACCACCTGCTGGTCCCACCTTCTCTTTACGTCTGTGCTTGTCTGGCTAAGTCCTATGATCTGTTTAGAGGGAAATAAATTATCTGGTATTTCACTGACAGTCTGAGGGCAAGCCATCCTGCTTTAAACTCATGAAGCAGTTCTCTGAAAACTCCAGTCTTTGATCTAGTAAACCATGCCGGTACTCATTTTTTTAATGATTTCATTTAAGTCTGTCTTCATCCCTGTGTTTTAGCTTAGCCGTCTTTAACCGTGAGCACGAATATTCGCTCCCACTAGCTGGTTCGTGCTGCTCCCTCACTGATGGGTCCCCTCTCTGAGAATCTTCTCAGGAAGACAAGGAACCGGGGGAATTGGTCTTATCCCATCAGCTACAGCTTCGGAGTCCAGGAAGTCAGGCACGAGGGGGTCAAGGCCACTCAGTGTGGCTGGGAGTCAAGGATCAGGGCTGGGAGGCGAAGCCTTAGCACCTGGGAAGGCCAAGCAGGGGGCAGAAAGGAGGGCAGCACTGGTCAGCTGCCGCCTGGAGAGAATTGGGAACAGGAAAGACGCCGGGGCCTCCGTCTCCCTCTGTGGCCAGCCCAGGGCGAGGTGTCCAGGGGCGGTCAGAGCATCAGCCTCCCCTTCACCACCAAATAGGGTAACACCGTTTGTATCTCCCAAAGGGCTGAACCCAGCATCTAATTCCTAGCAGAAGCTCCGTAAGTATTCAGTTTCATCCCGTAGGGCACCTTACCAGCTCAGGGACTAGTTCAGTGCGAGAAGGAAATGAGGAAGGAATCCCTGCTCAGGAAGGGCCTGTGCTGTTATCGCAAACGATCATAGAACCCGACAGGGCGTAAATCCTTATCCCCATGCTGTAGGTGAGGACACTGAGCTCAGAAGGGAGAGCGAACTCAGCCGAAGTTACGTATCTATTGGATCGTCCCAACAGTCATGGCGTATTTTTCTATGCAAAAGTGTGCTGTGACTTCTCTGCCCCGTCGTCGATGGCCTTTTCCTCCAATCGTGGATCGCGATATCTGGTTTTGGCCTGGGTTCTACTACTCGCTGTCCCTGTCACCTCAGAATCACTGCAGTTTAACCGACGGCTATTAAGTACTTCAGTGAAAGACACTGCGGGAGATGAAAAGATTGAGTCCTTCCGGTGTAAGAGACAAGCACGGAGCACTTACAGCGCAGGGAAGCTTGTGCAAAGTGCTACAAAGTCACTTTCCTTTTCTTTCTTTTGTTAAAGAAGTTTTTGCCTTAGGATATGTGCACTCATCAGAGAGAGACAGAGACAGTGAGAGAGAAAGTGAGAAATCACCTCCCGGGGGCGGGGGGATGGCTGTGCCACAGTCCCTTCTCCTCCATTTTCCTCCCTGGGTCTCTGGGCATGCACGCACACGTGCCCAGGGTGATATTCAAGCCACCAGGTCCAGAACTTGAACCATGGTCAGTTATGTGGGAGTACAGTGACATAAACACTCTGCCATCTGCTACCCTCCCCCCCCGCCCCGCCGCGGCCAACTTTGCTTTTCAAACAGGCCCTAGACTGTCCATCTGTGAAGTGAGTGAGATGAACTAGAGGAGACGTTTTCTGGAAGGGGTCAGACAGTAAATTGCTCTAGGTGTGCCCGCCCTGCAGCCTCTGTCACGTCTTTTCAACTCTGTCACTGCAGCATGTAAGCAGCTACCGACAGCCAAATGGGAAGGGCCACGGGGTGTGTAGAGTGAATTGTGGGTGTGCAGGAGAAGCTGGGAGTCCAGTTAGAAGGC